CCCCCCCCCCCTCTTCTTCATAGCCATCCTTATCCCTGTTCAATCTTCTTGCCAAGCTTACACTCTTTGTTTCCCCTGCAATATGTACATGCATTTCAAGTGTTGGAGTTCCACCTTGCAGTCTTGCCTCTCCAGCAATTGCTCCATGCCACACATCTTTCATCCAATGAACAGAACAACTAGGCAGGCACACCTGACAGTGGCTATCTTCTCAATTTTAGATCATCTCCAAAGCTCTTTCCACTTCAGAGTTCCATCCCTCCTGCTCTCACAACACCCAAAATAGGCTTGTAGGCAAAGCCCAGAGCTACTAACTCTTTAGTACTTGGGCTTCCTGGACTCCATTGCCTTAGATAATGAACAAACATATCCTTGAGACAGCTCATATTCTCTTAGCTCCATGGCCACCCCAACACCAGCTGTCTTTCCAGCCAGTCTCCTGGAGAAACTGCCTCAGCTTGCCTTGTCTCTGGCTTTTGGTGGGTACCATCCAGTTGCACAGTCCCCTGGGTAACTGGATCTGTATGCACAGATCCAGCCACTGCTCCCGCAATAGTAGCTTGTGTTTCTGCTTCTTTGCTCCAAAGCTTCTCCTCTTTAAACTAAACTCTTTGCTAGTATCTGACATCTCTGCTTGCATATCTAGCTGTCAGTTCTGATTTTATTATGCTACATCTGAAAGCATTTCCCTCCCATCAAGATAACCCCTTACTATCTCCTTTTTTTGGTTATTGCAGACATCCTTCTCCTCATGCTGCAGATCTCACTGGGCAGTGAATCTGAATGTCAGGCTTTACCTACAACTCCTTGCAAGGTTTTCTGAGCCAGGCAGTGCCTGCATTTTCCATGCTTTCTGAATAACAGCTCTAAAATGTTACTCATTTTAGAGTAACAATCCACCCACGCAGTCAAGTTTTCATCCAAGCCCACTGCCATCCTGCAACGGTTTTCCTTTTGGCCTCAACATAAGGCAATCCTGCCCTACAGACTGCTGCTGGAAAGCTGTTCTCTCAGTCCATCACACTGGACACATCACTCTTCTTTATTTTGTTCTGATAGCTCTTTTTCTCCAATAAATCAGACAAATTCACTTCCAAAGTCTTGTTTGGCCTATCCACATTGTACTGATCCTCTCTGCTATCATTCAAAGGTTAACTCCCACCTTCAGTGGAGTCATGATTTCATGCTCCTCCGCCCATTTATTCAGGCTTCAGTCGACTCTCTAAAGAAAAAAAATTAATCTGTTCTTACAGCACTCTATTGCCATTAAAATAGCCATAAAGGTTCATTTACTGCTGTCAAACTCTCCCTAAAATCTGGCTTCACCAGAGGATCAATCAGCTAAGACCTCCAGGACATCAGAAATTTACTTTGCTACTCAATATTTTTATCATTGCTGCCTGAGGTAAGAACCTGGGCTGGCTGTTCCCAGCTGACATTTCACTGGGCAGATGGAGAAATGTTTGGTTCCAAGATGCCAAAGAGAAGGTACTTTGCAGCTAGAGGGAAGAAGAGAGTGCCCAGAGTTGTGCTCCTGACCTCTCCTACACCAGTAAGGCACAGACAGAGGCAGCAATCCTGTCTAGTCACATCCCACTGACAAGCATATTAATACTCAGCAGGCACAGAAGGATATGTGAGCAGTGATGTTGTTTTCCTGAGCTCCTCTGCTTTCTGGAGTTCAGCATATATCCTTTGAAGGTGAGTACCCTTGAATTTGTTGCAGTATACCTCCTGAGCTCAGACTGGGCATCTTCTCTGTCTTCAGGCTTCCACTTATCAACAGTAGCACAGCTACAAAGCAATATGGACACCCCAGCAGCAAAGAGATGACACTGATGGCAAGAACTGACCCAAACCTCCACCTCTCATTGCTCAGATAGAAGCCACATTATTTATACAGAATATTCTGGGGAGGGATAGGATGCAGAGAATATTCCTGTCATTCTTATCCAAATCTAGGTCAGAATACCTTTTTTTTTTTTACTTCAGAAATTGAAGCTAGCACTGCTGATCCACAATTATAATGTTCTGGGCTTTCAGTACCTTCATAAACTGAAGAGTAATTATTTCCTTTTGTTTGCTCAGTACATTTAGCAAAATAATTATAATTCACTAGACTGTTTTCTTTGTTTTGGTATATTGGCATAGCTCTCTCTCCCTCTGTTTCCTTTCATAGAAACTATGGCATCATTTTTGCATGCACATTTTCGGGGGGGGGGGGG